TTTCTTTCTTTCTTTCTTTCTTTCTTCTTTTTATTGTTTTGAGACAGGTTTTCTCTGTGTACAGCCCTAGCTGTCTGGAACTCGCTCTGTAGACCAGGCTGCCTCAAACTCACAGAGATCTGCCTGCCTTTGCCTGCCTGGCCTCAGCTACCTTTCTTATACCTCCCAGGACCACCTGCCCAGGGATCTATCTGAATCCTCTCCCATGTATCATTAATTCAAATGCTCTACAAACTTGTCTGCAAGTCAGTCTGATGGGGGCATTTTCTTAATTGAGGTTCTTTGTTTTCAGATGACTCCAGTTTTTGTCAAGTTGATAAAAATATAACCAATACTTTGGTCATCTATCACTAGTGGAAGAGACTTCCCAACTCACTCGAGATGGAGTCATGAAGAGCATGAGTGTATATGTATGTTTTTTTTTTTTTTGACTCATTATAGGCAGGCAAGTTAGAAAGGAAGAAGCCATAGAAAAGCAAGTCACTTTTAGGGCTTCCTTGGAGATTCCCATGAATCAGCTGTGTGTTTCCCTTTGAGGAGCACTCCTGGACTATAAACACAGGTACTAAAAGTTGCTGTGGCTTAGTCCCACAGGACACAGTGGCATGGTGGCTCAGTGGCCAAGGTGCTGAAGCCAGACCTTTGGCTGTGTCCTGAGGTTCCTTGCTAATTGTGTACCATTGGGCAAGACTTGAATCTCACAAGGCTTCGTTTCTTTGGAAGCAAAACGGGGCTAATAGAATTCACCTCCAGAGACTCACACTGAGCCCTCAAGGAGATAATCTCTGCTGATTGCTCAAGTGAAACCTGGAAGAAGTGTAATCCTTACCATCACCACGATATCCATCCTCCTTGTGTCTTTCAGATAAGAAAGGCTCCCCTGTATTGCAGCAAGCAGAGGTAGAACTCATTGATCAAACCGTCTGTGTTTCCACCTATGGGATCATCACTTCCCGGATGCTCTGTGCAGGGGTTATGTCTGGCAAGAGCGATGCTTGCAAAGTAAGTCTTCCACCTTCCCCTTGCCTAGCATGTTGTGCTTGTTGTAAACACATTCACATTTCATTTACACAATACTGGGGCTATCTAGGGCAGGCCTTGTCCTTCCTTCATCTGAATTGCCCAGAAGCTAATTATGATTCAGTTGCCTAAGAGCAGGGAAACATGGAGAAAGAACAGCTTTTAAAAATTACCATCCTCTTATAAGTGAGTACACACCACGTTTGCCTTTCTCAGTTCCGGTTACTTCACTCAGGATGATTTTTTTTCTAGTTCCATCCATTTGCCTTCAAATTTCCTGGTGTCCTTGTTTTTAACAGCTGAGTAACAATCCATTGTGTAAATGTACCACATTTTTTAAAACCATCCCTCAGCTGAGAGACATCTAGGTTGTTTCTAGGTTCTAGGTATTAGAAATAAAGCTGTTGTGAACATAGTTGAGCAAGTGTCCTTGTGTATGATTGAGCATTCTTTGGGTATATACCGAAGAGTGGTATAGCTGGGTCTTGTATCTGACACATAAATGCTGGATTTGGTGCTCATGAGACACATGTCTTCATGTTCACGTTATCTTTTTGTGTAGGGAGATTCAGGTGGACCCTTGTCTTGTCGAAGAAAGAGTGATGGAAAATGGATTCTGACCGGCATTGTTAGCTGGGGACATGGATGTGGAAGACCAAATTTTCCTGGTGTTTACACAAGGGTGTCAAACTTTGTTCCCTGGATCCATAAGTATGTCCCTTCTCTTTTGTAACTGTACCAGTTGGATTTTTAACTGATTTTTGTGATCGATTCTTGAAAAAGAATGTAATTATCATCAATAAAATTAATCCTATTTTTCAACCAAAAATGTCAGATTAAGCTCATCTGATATTCATTGCAAGGTAAACAAATTAATATGTATTCCATAAAAATTTCCCAAAAATGTAATGATATTCATTCTAAGGTGTCAACATGTTATTGATCCATAGATGGAAGAAAACTTAAAGTAATGTCACAAACCAAGCTTCTAAAGTAAAATGAGAACAAAGATAGGTGTCCTTCTTATGTGTTCCAGTGCAAGTGGAGATGCTTGCAAGGATGGAGACAAACTCAGTGCACAGCTAAGATATTTCAGGGAAGCCTTACCTGACTGTTAGTGTTCCTACAAAATTCAATGCACAAAACAGTGGTACCTCACAAACAGACATAGGGCAAAATTCAGTAATTGGCAGAGGAGGAAGGGACGATGTGGCTTTCCAGTCCAATTAGTTCTGCCCACGTCATGTCGGACCATGGCTGTTGAGGGGCACGCTGTATAAGGAGAAACTAATCTACCTGTGCACAAAACTAAGCATGGATCCACCCCCACACAAGACTACGGGTTTGCAATCCTCACTAGAGTGGTAGAAAACTGTCGGTCAGAGGTGGACAGAAATATACCTGTGGAATTTTGATCTTGATAAAGGTGGCCAACAGCAAAAGGCCGGAGGTATTTTTGGTAAGTGTTCTGAAGGTCAAACTTTTCAGGTATGTTATCTCCTGGCTTTTGGTTGTTTTAGTAAAATTTAAATTGTCAAGATTTTCTTTTATTTTCAAAGTTAGTAATGATTTAAATAACTATGTCTACAGTACCTGCTCAACACATTCTAGTTCTTGATTTACCTTAATTTTGAGAGCTTCTATATCCTAGGATAATATTTTCATTGTCAGAGTCCAGAATTAACCATAGCACCAAACAGATAAAATGGAAGAAAAAAATGTTATTTTCCCTTAAACAAAGTCTAAGGAGAAATAACAACACTATTATTAAATAGGGCTAATAATACTGCATAGAACTGTAGAGAAAATTCAAAAATGAAAGGAGAGAGAACAAGATGTGTTATTTTCCAAATTAGTAAAAATGATTGGAAAATTCTGACTACCCTGAGATCATGAATATTTCCAGTTCACAGAACATATTTTGATGTTTTAGAAGACTTTCCTTGGGATTAAGGATAAGCATCACAATAACAGCATCTGTCTGGTACCGAGGGTTGTAACCCACGGGTAGACCATTTACCTGGGATGGACCCCAACACTTAAATATATTCCCAAGATTTCTGGAGTCCCCAAATTGGTCTTAGTAATTGTGTCTGTCGGGGGAAGGGAATGAGGGAATGCAATGACTTACACAGAAGGTTGAGAGGCAAGGTCTTTGGACCAACACCCAAACCACACTTTGGTGTACGCACAAAAGTAATTCCAGACTCACTAAGCCAGTTGTAAACTATGCATAGGGTGTGGAGGGCATTGTGTGTATGGGTGTGCTTACCGACACTTGCCCTGTGCTTTTACCCCTAGGTGGGGTGTGTTTATGGCCCCTCCTCTCAAAGATAAACAATAATGAGCAAATAAGTAACATTTATGAGTCCTTCCTTCGGCCGGTCATTCCTCCCCCCCCCCCCAACACCCCATGAGTGGTGAGTGGAGAACTAACACTCGCTACTTCCCAAATAGGCTGTCCTAACTAAGTACTATCAGCGATACTGGTACTTCCCCTACGGCTGAATCAGCTTGCAAGGGGGAATTGTGCTGCTGGGTATCACTCATCTTCCTGTGCTCACGACCCCCCCCGCTGCTCAACACCCCGCCCCCCCCGCCCCCCAGCCCAGCCTATCCCTTCCTTGCTGCAGTCCAGTTTGCAGTCAGGCCATGTGATCTAGTCTGGGTCCATCCACAGGGAAATGCGTTGCAGGCAGCACCCTGAACAAACCAGAAAAACAGCCCTCCTCTGTTCTGGAGCCCAAGGCAGCAGGGTCCCACCCGCCACTACCTTTCTGGGGTCAGGTCAACTGTCCAAGGCCAGAGAGCCTCCTCTCGCTGGCTTCGCCCTACCCCTCCAGGCCAGCCACCACAGGTAGATCTGGAGCCGCCCCAGGTCTACCTGCCGCGCCAGGTGGGTGGAGTGTGAGCTAAGGACTCTCCCTGTCCTGGACTCTGCACCCTTAGGTGCCTGGGTCTTGCCTCTCGGCAGAGCGTCTGTCCTTTGCGCTGCCATGGAAGAGGGCAGAGCCCCATCGCCCCGGGAAGAGCTGGAGCTCTCGACGCTGGAGCTGGAGAGGGAGCAGGAAGAACAGACGCCTCTCAGCGTCCAGATTCAGCCTTCCTCGGCCGAGAGCCCTAGCCCAACCCAGGTAAGGACTTGGGGTTCTGGCGGCCTGTGACAGCAGGAAAGGGGCCTGACACCGTTTAAGGGTGCTAGGGCTCCTCCCTACTAGCGTCCAGGACAGGACGCACAAAGAGTGGGGCAGGCTAAAGAAAGCAAAAATGCCATAGGCTAGACCCCTCCACTATAGGGACCTCACCTAAAGACTCTTCAGGAACCTTGGAGTGGGGGCGTGGCTGCTCCTTTCAATGTAGAGGGACGATTAGGAGGTAGAGGTAGTTTAGAATTTTTAACATTGTTTTTTCTTTCTTTCGCAAGTATAGAGAGTGATGGATTGAATCATATACGCTCTCTCCCTGTTTCCCATCTCCCCCTCCTCTCCTTTCCCCATCACCACCACCACCACTGGGGGCCTACTGTCTACCACCTCTGCCCTCCCCCACCTTCAAACACACTATTTTCATCAGGAAGAGAGATAGGCAAAGAACACGAGGAGAAAAGAACTGCGGCCCGACTGAGGGTTGGCCCTGGCGAATTTACCGGCTCAGAAAAAGGGAAATAATATCAAAGTTTTATCTCAGAAATAACTTTGCTGTCTTTTCATCTCGGAGTTAGTACTTGGGGGTGTGCAGGTTGTTAAACTCTTCTGATTCAGCCATGGCAGTGCCTGAACTTTATTCACAGATCAAATACTTGTAAAACATCAGAGAGCTTGAATTCTGAGCGACTTGTCTTCTTAGTAACCCCCAAGGTTACCTGAGTTTTATTGGGCTCACTCAACTCTCAGGATGCATCTTTAGCCTGGGTTCTCTCACCCCACTCCACCTTCATCCCTCTTGTGCCCAAGTGCTGATTTTAGTACAAAACTCAAAGCGTGAAAACTTTACTCTTGGTCTACAGTGATTCCTGGAAACAGAGTGGCAATATCTTATTTCATAAGTACCTTGGAGAATAAGTTGGCACCTTAGGTTTGTATGTACTGGGATCACAGATGAATGAAGTTTGGAAATGGCTGAAGGCAAGTGCAGGTAGCCATAGCCAAGAACTTTCTGTATAATTCTCTAGGGCAGGATCTGGGCATAGGAATTAGAGCTAATAGCCCCAAGTCAGTCAGGCCCAGCACAACTCCAAAGATTTAATCATTCTCCAGAAAAAAAAAAGGGCATGAGCTGGGACAAGGCTGTGAAGCTATATAACATCATAGGCTCCATGTGCTTCTGGGAGCCCTGGGCTGCCCGTGGACAACAGTTGAGAACACGCCACATCCATGCTGAGCATTAGAATTTTATAATTGCTTAGCACCTGTCTTGTGGAGACTGTGCTTTCAAGGTCCTAGTGACTTCCTTGTTAGTCAGATGGTACAGATGTGCTGACTTCCTTGTAATATGGCTTTGTAGGTCACTAAACAGTGAAGTTTCAGTGACCCATGAAATGGAGGGAAGGTGAAGGACTCCCTGAGAACCTGAAGGGCCTTCTAGAGATACTTGAATGGTGGCATTTTAGGAAGGAGAGGGTGGACAAAACCTCACCTCCTGCCATATGTCAATCATCCCCTGGTTCTGTAGAACAGGTGGAAATGCATTTCAGTATGAGAGGTCAATTAATGGGGTTCAGTAAGGACTGACTTGCACCAGTCCAGGTTTTAGGTCTTAAATTGTGTGATAATAGGTTCTGACTTTGATGCTTCTTTAAGTCCATCTTTCCATACTATATGCTTTGTACCTGTCATGTTATGTGAAATACCATAACACATAAATGCTGTTAATTATTACCAACTTAGAAGGAGCTGTCCTAGTTACCATAAACAACTTGAGACAACCTAAAATCACCCGACAGGAGAGTCTCAGTTGAGTAATTGAATCGGGTTGGTATACTTTTGCGAGGGATTGTCTTGATTGTCCATTGATATTGCAGGGTCCAGGCCACTGTGGGGGCTACCATTCCCAGGGAGGTAGTCCTTAGGCAATAGGAAAACTGGTTAAGCATGAGCGAGTGTGGGAGCCAGCCAACAGCATTCCTCTGTGGACTATCTTTCAAGTTCCTGCTTGATCTCCTGCCCTGGCTTCCCCCAGTGATGGCCTGTCTGTGGCCTGGAAGGATAAGCCAAACAAGCCCTTTCTTCTTTCCCTCCACTGCTTTTGCTCTGAGTGTTTTATTAGAGTGACAGAAACGAAACTGGAGTGGGAGAGGAGGAAGGATGCTAGTTTCCACGGTTTGACAGATGAAAGAACTAAGTGAAAAAAAAAAAAAGTAGGCTCTGAGATGCAGCCAGACGGCTCAGGTTCTCTTAGTAGAGCCCCTGAAGACCCAGGTATCCAAAGTCTCAAGGTCTATGCTGTTAATCAATTTTAAGAAAATATTGCATTTACTGCCTCTGTGTGTGTGTGTATGTGTGTGTGTGTGTGTGTACATGTGCCACGCTGCACATATGGAAATCAGAGGGTGATCTGGAGTCAATTTTTTCCTTCTACCATGCATGTCCCAGGGATTAAACTCAGGGTTCGATGCTTGGCTGCAAGGGCCTTTACCTGCTGAGCCATCTTGCTGGCCCCTGCTAATTGATATTATCATGCATAAATAAATATATGTGACTTGATTTATATAATTTCATTTATAGTTGCCTCAATTACAAATTATATTACTAATAAATATATACAGTTAGGTAATATATTTTTAATGACGTATGAAGTCCAGAGTGGCAGATCTGGCTGATGAGGTGGAATTGCAGGTGGATGGGTAAAGGGATGATGGGCAGGGAATAGTACTGAGATTGTAAACACCCCATTATTGTAGGTGTCTTTCTGCTTGGAAAAGGTGAGTTAGGAGAGTATGTGAAGAATTTTTCTTCCTTCCTTAATCTGAATTTGGGATGTAGAGGAAAAGGATTGTGAGCCATTGAACTCCTCTTTGTCAACTGCTACTGTAGGTTGATACCCATGGGCAAAAATTACTAGAGAGGGGCTGGAGAGATGGCTCAGTGGTTAAGAGCATTGCCTACTCTTCCAAAGGTCCTGAGTTCAATTCCCGGCAACCACATGGTGGCTCACAACCATCTGTAATGAGGTCTGGTCTGCAGACATACACGCAGACAGAATATTGTATACATAACAAATAAATAAATATTTAAAAAAAATTACCAGAGAAATTGTAGGTGATAAGGTGATTCTGGATTTCTTTTACGGCTCACCACTAGGGCCCTAACTCAGCAATCTAGAGATGTCTTAAGTGATGGCATCCTCATTGTATTAACAATAACCAAATAAACTGAGTGTTCTGTGGCAACCAAGGCTTATTTGAGCTAACAAATTAGCCCAATTGCAGTGCATTGTTCAATGGAGGACCAGAATCAACTGATTCTTTTGTGTTCGGATGAAAGGTGTGTTTAGATTCAATGCCACAGTGAAGAGGTAGAAGTGCAGACTCTCCCGTGTTCTGACAGGTTTACCTCTAGTCTTTACAATAACTGCTCTTAATTGAGCCAAGAAGAAGACAAGCTTTTTGGACCAGAGATAGACAGTCCTGCCAACATATATGAATGTCACGTGCTTAGTAGCTTACCCAGGGAGGTGATGGATCTCTTGTAGAGTATGCATAGAAAAGTCTTGGAAATTCCACTGCTGTCTAATGCAATCATCGAATGTAAGTTGGAATTTGCAAGCATATATAGAAGGCACCTTGTGGGAGAACCCATCTGAGGCCTCTCAGCAGATCAGTGGTGCACAGCAAATTAGATCCAACTAACCTTAACAGCACTCAAACCCTTAGTTGTTGGACCTGAGCCATCACTCTAGGCTCGTGTTTAAGGATTGCTTTCCAAATGCAACAATGTACAGCGATAAGGCTTTTGGAAAATAATTGGATCCTGAGGGGTTTGACTTTACTTACGGGCTTGTCTGTTGCTCAATTCATATTTTTTTCTTTGTAAAAGTTTTTATTTATGTTCATTCATGTTTTGCCTCCATATATATCTGCAGGAGGGTGTCAGGTACCCTGGAATTGGAATTATGAACAATTGTAAGCTGCCATGTGGATTCTGGGAATTGAACCCGGGTCCTCTGCAAGAACAGCACGTGCTCTTAATCCCTGAGCCATCTCTTAAAACCCAATTCATAATTTGATGGCATGGTTGGGAAATACTGGATACTTTAGGAGGTAGAGTGTACTAGGAGAGAGTATTCTTTGGGGTTTGTCCAGGAAAGTTGTTTTGTGCCCAACTCTTTTGACATATTTTCTCTTTGCTTTCTGATTTCTATGAGGTGAATGGCCTCACATTCGCTCAGCTGTGGTATTCTGCCATGGAGTTAGCTGACCATGGGCCCAAACCATGAATACCAAATATTAAACCATAAACCAAATAAATCTTCACGGTAAGTTTTGTTAAAGCTAACACCCAGCTGCTTTGCCGTAGGCACTAGCTTTTCACTCTAATCTCAATTTCCTGTCTCTTTCTGTACCTCATCCCAATCCTTAGGCAGTTCTGTTATGAATCAGCAAATGCTGTTTTCTGGGTTTCTAATACCTTCAAAATCCCTTTCTTCTATACACAATGACAAATATCACATTGTCACTAGTACGCTAAAGTTTGAAATGTTGATCTTACAGAAGCAGAGAGCAGAAACACCATTATCCCAGCAAGGGAAAGGAACGGCGGGACGGGGAGCAGGTGGTCAATAGGTAGACAGAGTAAATGCTTCACAACGTTCTGTAGCCCAGTAGAGAAATGATGGTTGACAATGACTTGTACGTTTTAAAGCAGGTAGTCGAGAGGAGTTTACACATTCCTAACACAAAAGAAATAATAATCATTGGAGCTGATGGATCTACCATTATACCTGACACGTGGGTTTGGAACTATCTCATTGAACTCCATAAATATATTCATGTGAGTGATAAATAAATACAAGCCAGGCAGTGGTGGTGCATGCCTTTAAACCCAGCTCCCAGCACGTTGAGGGCTTGAGAGGCAGAGGCAGGCAGATCTTTGTGAGTTTAAGGCCAGTCAGGTTTGCAAAAGGAGTTCCAAAAAGGTTTGGTTTGGTCTGTTACACAGAGTAACCCTGCCAAAAAAAAAAAAAAAAAAAAANAAAAGGAAAGAAAGAAAAAGAAGAAACAAATGAAAGAAAAGTAATACAAAATTTTAAAACTCCAAGAACAAAAATCCTAACTCTTGTCTCTCCTTCAGTCAGAGGGCCTTTGACTAATTTCCTCTTGAATCTCTTTTCTGCCCTGTTCTTAGTTGGATTCAGTGTAGTGCAACCCGTGAGGTTAAGAGCCAGATGACTGATGACCTTAATTCTGGTTTACTGGTCTCTAGTTGGACTTTGATACTATTTGTCGAAACCCAATGACTACCTCATAATCTCTTTTTACTTTCTAGACAGACAAGGAAAGTCCCTGGAGTCCCTGTCACAAGACGGTGTTTGGACGATGTAAACTGTGGATGGTCATTGTCACCATTTTCCTGTGTTTCATCGTAGTGATCACTATAAGCTTATGCCTTATAGGAGGTAAGGATTCCACTGACTCTGTTGACACACTTGAAGACCTTGTCAAAAGCTGTGGCTTACAATGAAATGGAAAATGAACTCATTGTTATTTTACTAATTATAGCACGAATTGAAATAAGGGTTGGGCAATTGGGCATGATTTACACCTGTAATCCCAGTCCTTAAGAGGCCAAGGTGAGAAGGCCTCTAGTTAAAAACCAGCTTGGTCTATATTGTGAGACTGAGGCCAGCTAAGGGGTACCTTGCCTCAAAAAACAAAAACAGAAGCTAAAATCAAATAGAACAAAACTGGCTTGGAATAATGTTGTGAGATATATACAAATCTTTATGTCTGTGTGTGGGTGTTTTGCTTAAAATTGAAAAAGTATGAAGACCATTCTTTCTTTAAAATTTTCTCACTGGTTCTTGAGGTCACTCTGATATTAATTTTTATTATTTTAAAATCCTGCATGTAGGTGTGTGTGTGTGTGTGCGTGTGTGCGTGTGTGCGTGTGTGTGTGTGTGTGTGTGTGATGTTGGTATGTGCACATGAGTGCGGGTGCCACGGAGTCCAGAAGAGGGCGCTGCAGCATTTGTAACTGTAGAGACAAGCTGTGAGCTGCCCTGTGTGGGTGCTAAGAACTGAACATGAGCCCTCAGAAGAGCCTTAAGCACTCTTAACCCTCAGCCATCTTACTGTTGTTTAAAATTTGAACTTGAACACTAATCTACATTTTATTACCTTTTAGTACCTGATTGTTTTAATTTTCTTATAATTTGTTCAATGAAATCATTTTGTATATTTTGTACTCACATGATAAATAATAAATAATATATTTGAGAGAATTAAAAACATCTTTACTGAGGTATGTAGCAATAAGCCAGTGGTACTCAACATGTAGGTTGTGGCTCCTTTGGGGGTTGCATATAAAATATCCTGTATATCAGATATTTACATTATGATTCATAACAGTAGCAAAATTACAGTTGTGAAGTAACAACAAAATAATTTTATGGATAGGAGTTACCACAATATGAGGAAATGTGTTAAAGGGTCAGAATTAGGAAGGTTGAGAACCATTTATTGAATAAGCTGTCACTATTTTAACTTATTTTAGAAATCACTATTATATTTGTGTTGAATTTGTCTAAGAAACAAATATTTGCAGGACACTAACTATATACTTTATAAATCATATTTCACTTCATGGTTTTATGCTTTGAATTAAAAGTGACACAGTTTTAGCCATCTCCTTCTTATTATTAGTTTTCCACATGTTCTTCTCTTTTTCTTATTTGCGTTTTTAACCTGAAATCAGATTTTTATATTCTAGCCCATCTTTATGATTTTAATGTTATATTAAGATAATTTTTACAGGTTATTAAAATGTTTGTGAACAGAATATATAATACATATAGTCTTCTATGCAGTAACTACAGTATATTTAGTTTTCTATATGGTGATTACAGTAGATATAGTCTTCTATACAGTGATTACAGTACATATAGCTTTCTATATAGGATTATAGTGTATATATAGTCCTTTATAAGTATATAGAGTCTTCTATACAGTGATTACGGTACATATAGTTCTCTACAATGATCACAGTAGTACAGTCTTCTATACAATGATTACATTATATATATTATATGTGTATAGTCCTCTATACAGTGATTATAGTACATATAGTCTTCTATATAGTGCTTACAGTATGTACAATCTTTTATATAGTGACCATAGTATATATGGTCTTCTATATAGTGAGTATAGTATATATAGTCTTCTATATAGTGATTAGAGTATATATAATCTTATATATAGTGATTACAGTATATCTATTCTTCTACAGCATTTTAAAGTCTTTTAGGTTGTTACTATTTTAAAAATTATTCCCTGAATTTTTAAGATGCATAAAGATATTAAACTAATGAGGTAGATAATTTTTACATCAAAGTAGGGGAAGGAGGGAGAATTGTTTTACTAGTACATGGCGGTGGTTGAGGGGAGGGGTGCTCATTCAGAGCTGGGGTTCTTCTAATGTGCTACCTCCAAGAGGTCTGAGTCTGGTTCTCAGTGGCAAACCTGGTCACAGAATGTCACAAGGACAGGGAGCTCTGAGTATCTCCAGAGGGAATCTTGGACACTCTTTCCCAGAAAGCCAATTTACCTGTTCCTTCCTGGAAGATTTTCACCACCTTTGAGTTTCTCAGATAAGCACCCTGTCTACTCTGTTGACATTGTTTAGGTGGGATGGGGACATATTTGAAGCTGTGAGCTTGTTTTAAACAGGGAGCATCTCTGAGGTGTGCTGCACCTGCTCCACCACGCTGAGGACAATGGCTTTGTTGTGATCAGCTGTCCCACATCAGCTGCCACAGGTGGATGCTGCAACCAAAGCTGAGTCACACAGTCTCCTCCCGTCTCAAGTGCCTGGTGCCACCCTGAAGCTTGACTGATTTGCCTGGTAGTGACCAAAGAGCTAGTCATACAGCAGATGGTTTAATATTCAGGGCTTGAAACACAAGACTGGATGTCTATCTATTCCTTAGAAATCACCTGACTTCCACCACAAAAAGCTATCTGCAGTGACTTATTCAGTTTCCCATGGAAGATTTTTTGGGAGATGTGAAAAGCCATACTATAAAATTCCAAAGTAACTATTTAATATTATAGTCTAAACTTTAATTTGGTTGTAAGTTTGCATTTTAACATATGTTAAAATTATAAAAGAAACCTACAAAATACCTTTTTTCCTCCTCTCTGGGAAGTACTTATTTTACATGGAATCTTGCCTATTGGACTCTAAGACTCGCAGGGAGAATCATGATAGACTAAAAAAATGGAAACTACTGCAAGGACTTTGAATTAGAAAATATTGCACATTCAGTTAATGTGCCAGCTGCATTTATGTCGCTTTGACACAAGCTGGAATCACTGGAGAGGAGGGAGCCTCAATTGAGAAAATGCCTCCATTTTCAGGCTGTGCGCAAGCCTGGAGGGCATTTTCTTAGTTAGAAATTGATGGGAGAGGGCCCAGAAGAAAGCAGACTAGCTAGCAGTGAGGAACAAGTCAGTAAGCAACATTCCTCCATGGCCTCTGCTCCGGTCTCTAGGTTCTTGCACTTCCTGAGTTCCTGTCTTGACTTCCTTCAGTGATGAACAGTGTTATGAAGGCAAAAGCCTAAAAAACAAAACAAACAAACAAACAAACCCAAAAACATTTTTCTTGCTTTAGGTATGGTGTTTCATCACAGCAACAGCAATCCTAATGAAGACACTAACATCTATCATTAATACTTTGTTATATTTTCTTATCTCTGATTTGTATTTTGAAATAATTTGAGATCAATTTGTAAGACAGTAGCCTTTCTTGAAGGTTTTTAGATCATTTTGATATTATTTCGCTGAGTCACTAAAAATTCAGGGCTAAATCTGAGTGGGGTCGGTGTAGACCACGATAGATTAAAAAGGAGTGAGAGCAGTCTTCCCTGTGTGATCATGCTAGCCACACCCAGAGCTGCTCTGCTAGTAGTTCTGGGACGACAGCTGACAGCCGGCAATCATCGGCCACTGCCCAACTGCCAAGCCCACTGATATGAATCACACACACATTTGCAGAACTTAAGGCACTGTTTAGGAAATAAGGGAGAGAGTGGTGTTGGGACTACCAGGGGTCAAGATTGAGTGAGACAAAAAGGTTCCTCAGGATCCATATTGCCCAGTCCCTTCCCGAGGCTTTCTTCTCTAAAATCTCTGGAACTCCAGTCTCAAGACTTTTTAGTTCCCCAGCAAACTGGACATTGAGGTGGAACTAACTATGCAGTTGGAATGGATGTAGAAAAAGTGAGCACACCCTGCACACAAAGGGAAACTTAACTAGCTGAGCAACCAGGAACCCATGGCAGGGCATCAGGTGAAGAGGTATGATTGCCATTGCTAACACTCACCTGTATGTGGTGATATTTAAGGCAAAGTGGTTGGTCTTATGTTTGTTCTCAGTCCTCTGAAGACTGAACACATGTTATTGTCTAACATCTGGCGTGGCCTCACCTCCTTCTCTGCGTATAGAGGGGAATTCCACATCAGACAATTTCCTTCTCCATGAAGAATTATAAAATTTTTGGTGTGAAGGGTAAAGGGTGTCTTAAGCACTGTTCTACTGCTGCGAAGAGATGCCATATACAAGGTAACTCCTAGAAGAGAAAGCATTGAATTGGGGGTTTGCTTACAGTTTCAAGATTTAGTTCATTATCACCATGGCAGCACACAGGCTGGCACGTTGCTGGAGGAGTAGTTGAGAGCTAATCTTGATCTGCTGACAGAGAGTGAGAAAGAGAGATGGGGGGGCAGGGAGAGAGAGAGAGGAGTGGGGAGAGAGAAGGAGAGAGACTGGGCTTGGCTTTTGAAAACTCAAACCCCACCCCCACTGGCACATTCCCCCAACAAAGTCATGCCCACTCTAAAAGGTCACAGCTCCTACTCTTTCCAAATAGTTCATCAAATGGGTGCTAAGCATGCAAATATAAGCCTATGGGGGCCATTCTCATTCAAACCACCGTGCCACATGGGAGATGTGAAGAACATCTTCCTCTTTCCTTCTGAGTCATTTTCTTTGTGGACAATTTGGGGGGACCACTCAGGCACCTTCAAGGGCTTCCTTTCACTCGGGTACCCTGGTTAGAAAAGAGTAACACCACACTTTGGTATGCCTTGTGACAGACAGGTGCATGCTTAAAATGTTAGAACACGCTGAATGACCTCCACATGACCTCCCCCAGCATTAGAGCTGACAATGGTCTTAGTTCTCAGGGCTTTTCCTAGAAAGGAATGCTGTGGCACAATCGAAGCAGAGACTTTCTAGGTGATGCAGTATTGAGTGGATTACTGAATTCTTCAGCAGAAGGGGAGACTTTCATTGTTTTTGGCATCACATGAACCTGACACTGTTTTCACAGGGAGATACTTCCTGGTAAGGGTGACTCAGGGGAAATCCTTGGCAGGTGTCACCTACAAAGGTCCC